CTGTTATTCAGACAAGGCAGCAATTAACAGACACATAGAGATAAACACCATCTACATACTATTCAAAAGAGACAAGAGACACCTCACCAGCAATCATCACCCAGATAAGCAAAGGTTACCACCAGGCACACAATCAAGCAGTGACCAATACCCTAATCAAGGAACTACCAGAGGAGCAAAACAAAAACCCCACCACCACCACCACTGGCAAGGCAGGCCACAGTATATAAACAGAGAGCAAACCCCATCCCATATTAGCACTGAATATGTTACCTAACCGGGTAATGAACTGTTTGCAAGAAAAGAACCAAGCTCAGAGAACCCCAAGGACTCCACAGTTCAACCCTGAGCTACACATATTCGCCTCTATCGGAACTGAAGGTAGCCGGATCAGTATTCTGGATTTCAAGAGAGCTGATTTCAATAAGCTAAGGGGGAAAGATGGGAGGACTACATGGACAGAAAAATCCTGAGTTCAGGGAGACTAAGAAATTCTGAAAAATCAGAGAATTGAAGCCCCAACACAAACAATACCAAAGAGAAAGAAAAATAGGAGACAGCTGATGAGCTCTCCATCAAATTGAGAAACAGAAAAGACAAGTTTAAAAATTGGAAAGAGTGGCACATGATGAAACCAGAATATCAGGGAACAGCCCAAATCTTATCCCCTTTTAGCAGTCCAGTGCTTCTTTGCACCCTTTCTTCCTTCAAAATTTTCTCCATAGTTCCCTTCTTTATCCTCATATCCTTCCCAGCTGTGCACCCATCCAAGAGGCTCCCCACAAATAAAGAGCCACATCCTACTTTCTTCTTTATATCCAGGCATGTGAAAAAGGGAGTATGACCCATTGAAATTTTTGACTTTTTCAACATAATTCATCATAAAGATATTTGATCTTCATTTCAACAATATTGATAAAGGGGATATAATATAACAAATCAGGCACCATTTGGTAGTCCATTGTGTAATTTAAATAAACATAAACACACATTTCACATATGGACAAAGTAAGTACACCTCTAGAGGGACGCGGTGGCGCAGCGGCTTAATGACGCTGAAAGTTGCCGGCCAGAAATGGTCGAC